TTGCCACAGTTAAATAGTACCTTGAGATCTAACTTCACCATTCTACGAAAACTGTAAACCTCCTAAGAGCTCAAAAGAAAAAGGAAGAAGATGACCAACAGTTACTAAGAACCTGTTACATGCAAGTCCTATTCTGAGTGTGTTACAATAAATACATTACCGAATACAATCCTCAAAATAATCTGACAAGGTAGAAATCATGCCTTGATTTCATGAACAAGGAAAATGAGGGGTAAAAGAGCTCAGAAAACTCAGGACAGAAAGTCCCAAGTCATGTACTATAATTATATATCTCAGGTGTCATTTACAAAATATGCTACAGAACTATGCAGTAGACTTGTAGCTGTCCACATATATTTTTCTACACTCCCAGTATTAAGTCTAATGAAAACACAAGACTTATAGATGAATTTTTAACATTGCTTTTCATATTTTTACAGAGATACACCATTTTTTTCTGAAAGGATGATACTAGAATCATTTTCTAAATCACTTGATTTTAAAAAATTGTTTAAAAATCAAAGTATCATTTTTCTTCTATAATGTGGTTTTCTGCCCCCATAGTCAATATTTCACTGCTTTAACTTAAACAGCAAATATTTAGTAAAAGCTGTGAATTATTGTTAAGTGATCAGTCTTGGCAGAAAGAAAAGACACTGTTTTGTCTTTTGTCGCATTCTCAGTGAGGTGGTAGGTGCCCAAAAATACAAGGTGAAATGTCCTGATCTTCAGTAGCTAGCTAGCTAGCTAGCTAGCTAGCTACAGATACAGACACACAAGAAAAGTACAAGACGCATATGATGTAATTACAAGTTTTATGGGGCAGAGATAGGAACATGAGAGTAGAAAGCAGAGGCAATTAATAAGAAAACAATAACAGTAATAGTAACTAATAAAAAATTTAAAAGTATATATTACATGTGTGTAAAGTTATGATTTCATTTAAATTAAAATATTTTTGAAAAAAGCAAATTAGAGCTATATCTATTCACTTAACAAGGTTGTCCATGCTTTCAAATAAATAAAGCAAATTGAAAATTCTCTCTGCATATAAAAACAAATAAAACATTTTAATCTGCATATATAAATATTACTAAAGGGAAAAGTGTAGAAGGACGTAAGTCAACCTAATCTTAACACTGGTTATCTGACAGCGATTGGAGACATTTAAAGATTTGAGGTGCCCTGGACATAAGCTACTACTGGTGACTTCATTTCCTCTGTTCGCTATCCTTCATTCCTGTTCTCTCCTTCACCAGGGGCTTCTTAGCCCAGAAGCTTATCTCCATATGTGATCACTAGTTTTTACCTTGGCTTTCTCTGATCTATACCCACCATTCTCTAGCATAGCGGGCAGAGAGTGGGCGCTGATCTGCCACTGAGCTGGAGAAATGTCTCTGCAGTATTACACAGGCTTGAGGCTTTCCTGGTTGAGGAGTTGTGGTGTGTGGTCATTTTCCCAAAAGGGACAGACCCAGAATCTGGGCTGGGGTTGCAGGCTAAAGGAGCAGTAGGAGGCAGTCAGGTGGAAAGTGGGTCAAGCTGCTAACTGCCAAGTCAAACTTCAAAGATTATTCCCTCCCACCTGTGTCTAGGGCAGCGAAAACTCCATGAATATGATGGACCCCCATGTTCCTGCCAAAATCGTAGTCTAACAAATAGTGAGTGCAATACAAGTAAACACAGCATGTTCTTTTAGTAAAGAAGCCTGCATGTTGTATTATAGATTCTCAACAGCTACTAAAGGGCAGCAACACCTCTTTCAGCAAAATATGCCCAAAGAATCTGGTAGGTGTTTTTTTTATTCCGACAGAAGTCAATAGGTATTCATAAGACTCTATGTGCTAGAATGTGTTAAAAGCCAGAAGTTGTACTTGAGAGAGAAGTGGAAACTATTTTTAAAAACCCACCTATGTTAATACAGATTGTATATTTGTACATTATTAAGGATATATCAAAAAATTATCTCAATATCTCCCTCACATCTATCTCATTATGTTTTCATTTAACTAGAATAGTTTTTAGGCTACTATTTTTAATGTCTTCTTAGAAATAAAATGACAGTCTCACTTTATGTTACCTTTTCAGAATACATTCATGCAACAAATAAGGTGTTGAGGATCTGATATATATATATATATATATATATATATATATATATATATATATATATATATATATA